AAAAAAAAATCATTAATCAGACATTTGATAGCAATTCTCTTTTGTAAATTATCAATATAACATTGCAATATTTAAAATGATACAAAAAGATAACTTACTCATATTCTCAATTTTTTCCACTTAAATATCCCCAGTAACAGAAGATAAACTGGAAATTCGAGGTGTATCATAAAGGTGTACATAAGTGTATGTTTGAAAGAAATTTTAGTAGTTTGTTCTTGTTATAGAGAACGTATGCCAGTCCTTTAACCCTTGCTCTTCTACTGTTGATTCTGCAGTTTGATTGTAAGTAGGTTTGCAAATACTAAATATTTCTAATCCACAGGAATCATCATTTTATAATATGTTTTTTCTCATAAGCCTATTAAATTAAAATCAATATACAGATAATTCATATGGAAGATTTAAAAGCTGGATAACAGGAAAATTTCTATGATGATCAATTTATGGTTTAGTCAATGTGCTAAAATCTCATGTAATTGAACTACTACTCAGTTTTGCGAAAGTTAGTCCAAAATGATGTTGAAAAACATAAAATACAAATTTCTACTGAGAAAGTTTAAAGAAGATACAATTGTCTTTTCTAAGAACAGACATGTAGCACAGCATTTTTCTGTCTGGAATGCTTTATCTTGCAAGATTTCTAAATTGAATCCAAATAATCTTAAAATAATTCATGTTTAGATATATAATTACCAATGTTATTTGAATTAAAATATTTTCAGGTGAATTATATGATTCAAAAGATACTACATGATTATACCCTCTTAACTGGAAGTGCGGCTATGTGCATGTTTTACCCAGATTCCAGACTTGAACAAATGTGGTGAAAATCAACAGAGCACAGCTCGGTGGAAACTGGCAAAGCAACAGATGTTGCTACTAGAAATAGCTGAGACTCGTAAATCTTTAACTGAAAAACATTTCGTGCAAAATGATTTATTTTGTGCATAGATTCACAGATTTTAAAGTATATATTATTGTATAATCTAATTTATTCCAGTGTCAGTATGTCTATTTAGAATGGTAAACAAACAAACAAATAAAAACACAAAAAAACTCAACCTAGACCATCATTCAGTCAATTCTGACTCACAGCGACCCTATAAGACAGAATAGAAGGTACTCACAGGCTTTCCAACACTATAAATCATTACAGAATCCCACTTTAAAACCCACTTTCTTCCATGCTGGTGGGTTTGAATCACAGATCTTTTGGTTAGTATAAGGAGCTCTAGTAG